CACCTGAACCTGCCACAGGGAAGCAGGGGACTGTGGTCTACACTGCAGAACATCCCCGCCGCAGACCACAGACCTGAGCCCCCACTGTCTTTTTTCCCCTAATAAAACCCCTGCTTGCTACCTCCACGTTATCGGGTTTCATTCATGCAACCACGAGCCTGCGTGCAAGGGGGAAAAGGGCTAGAAAGATGCTCTCCTGGCTTCAAACCCTGAGCCTCTGCATGCCGCAGGCTAATGGCAAAGAAGGGCAGGGACCCCCGTAGTTAACAGCACAACCATTTTCGTTGCCGTCCTCTGGACTCCCTCCAATTTGCCCACATCCTTTCTGCAGCTCTGCAGAGATCCAGCTTAAACCTCGCTATGCCCAGTCCTTTTCAGTCCCTCTGGTCCACGGCTGCTCTTGAACGCACTTTGGCCCAAGGCGCCTGCAGGCCAAGCGAGGAGCACTGAGATAGCCACCATCCTGCAGACCAGCCAGGATTCAGGGGAGCCACTTCAGCAGGAGACAAGGCCATGCCCAGACCCCGTGCCCCTTCCCCCCCGCAAAAAAGCTCCTCTTTCTGGAGCTGAGTTGCATTGAACTCTGACCGCACTTTCTCTCCCAAACCATAATTTCCCCCTGCAGCCTTCCTGCCGACCCCGCCGTCGGGCTTCTCCAGCCTGCAGCTTCCGAGTCATCATCTTTTAATAGATGGGTGCGACGCAGCCGCCTGCCCGCCTGTCTCCTGGGGCTGTCGAGGTGGCATTTAAGGCAGGATCACATCCAGCTGAGAACCTTCCCTGGATGTCAGACACACAGGAGCTGCTTGAGGGTGCAGCTGGACGGACCGCGGTGTCTACAGAGCCGCCCACCCGCCTGCAGATTTTATTTTTCAGCTAAAAACAGGTGTAGATATAGCTGCCAGCCAAGTGCTGGGTGCATTCTCCAGGCCCTCAGAGAGACTTGATTTGGTTTTACAAACCCGATTAGATGTTCACTTCAGTGGGTGCGTCTACACATGCATTCATGTTCTTTTCCTAATGCGCATTAAATTTAGTACTTCCAATGTGAGGTGCTAAATAAATGCACATTAGGCTGCCCTAATGCACAGTATTGAAAACACATCTTTTTAAGTGACCCTTAATGCTCAGTAGCCTATTTTACTGTGCATTCATGCAATTGCAAAATTGTACTTTTTAGGTGACTTTAATGCGCAGTAAAATAGGCTACTGCGCATTAAAGAGCATGTGTAGACATGCCCAGTATTTTGATAACAGGGCCAAATGAAACAGCAGCTTTGGACTATTATTGCCCTAGTGCACCGTGTTCTTTGTGCTTCATATATAATAGGGTAAATGTGCATATCTATAACGCTGTATTTGTGTTTGCTTCTTTCTTGAACTGAATGTTATAGCCCCAAGCAGGCCCCTGGCATCTTAGGAAAGCTTCTAGTTTGTTTTTTAACTGAAGAAAAACTAGGTCATGTTATACAGGATGACACAGCTCATCACCTGCACCCTGCTTTTACAAGACCCTGGATCCGGCCCTTGCCTCCGAGACGCTAAGAGTCGGGGCATTCTTTGAGGACCGCACACCCCACCGCCCCTGCAGCCCCTCACCTGGACGGAGATGTGGGGGTCATCTCCCGGGAGCAGCATCTCCGCGCCGTCTTTCCTCCACTCGATGGATGCCATGGGGTAGGCGAAGACCTCGCAGCCGAAGATGACGTCCTGCCCGGTGACGTTCCAGACATCGTAGGGAGGGGACAGGATCTGGGGCTCTGTGGGGGGACAGGGGAGAGGGGAGAAATGGTCAGGAGACAGCCCAACCCTCATGGGCCCCTGTGACCCCCGTGGCCAGGAGCTCACGGGCTCTGTCACATCACGGTTGGGTCCCACATCCACCTGGCAACCCTGCTAGGTGCCCCCCACGCCCCTCCCCAATTGCACCCTGCCGTCATGCGACTCCCACGGCCATGCAGCGCTTGCAGGCCCCTCTGCCCCCATCCATGCATCCCAGGAGCCAGAGCCCCCGGCATGGACCAGGCAGGAAAGCACATCTCCAGGGGTCTTTCCCGGCCACCCGTGACACTGCAGGGACCCAGGGCTGTGGTGGGCACAGGCTAAGGCTGGCGGCGCAGCGCCAGGAGCAGGGGAGCCAGCGGGGCCGATTAGCAGCTGCCAGGAGTGGGCAGGTCCCCCCAGCAGCCGGCAGGCCATCCCAAGGAGGCACTTGATTTGAACAGCCGTGGAGCCCGCGACAGGAGGCGAGTGCCGGAGCCTGGGGCCCCGGGATCCAGCAAAACAGCTGGGCTGGGTTGTTAACGCTGAGTCGAGGCAGTGACAGGCCCGGGGGTGCACGGGGCGGCGTGGTGGGGGCTGCCACGTCTGACAGCTGGCACAGGGCATGGAGGGAGGTGCAGCGGGGACCTGGGGAGGGTCTGGCAAAGACCAGGCCCGGTTCAGGCCCTTGCCACGCTCTCTGCCCTCGGTGGCCAGAACAACAGCATTTGTGCCTCTTCTTCCCCGTCTTTGCAAACTCCCCCCCACGTGATCTCCAAACTCGGGTACCCCAATCCTTCACCCTCTCCTAAATGCTTGCTCCCCACGGCCCCTGATTCAGCCATCTGGTACACCAGCGCATACCCAACAGGAGGCAAAGGAGCTAGCACCATCGGGCACGGCAGCTGCCGACATTAGGTTTCAGAGTCAACGGTGCGGCACCAAAGGTGGCCAGAGCCCTCTGCTTCCCCAGGGCATTGAGCCGAGCAGCTCAGCGGAGGTTTCCTCCCCAAGAAGAAGAAGGTCAAACTCCCACGGGGTGTTTAATGCAAGCAAATTGTGCAGCAATAATTGGACTGGGAGGGAAGCAAAGCTCCCCCAGGCTGCAGCATGGACAGGAAGCGGGGATTCCCCCTAGAAACAGGGAGGCTTGTCCTTGCCGAGCGGGTCTAGGCCCTTTGCTCGGGGTGGAACAAGCAGGCCTGGCTTGGCCCGACCCCGCAGCTCCTCGCCGGCTTCCCAGCGCGGTCTGCGCCGGGTAGAGCCAGCTCAGGCTGCCCAGCTTCCTCCAAAACCTGCCCCGAGAGCAGAGCAGGGTGAACCCCTAAGGAAGCCGCACATCTGGATGGAGCAGAGCCACGTTCTTCCCCGGCTGGAGGAGGGGGAAGAGCTGGGGGGGACGATATGGAGCCGGGGCTGTTTGCAAAGACGAGCAGAGGGAAAGCTCTCCGCTCTGCTGGAAACAAAGCCGTCCGGAGGCCAAGACGGCGACGGCGGCCCTGCATACAGCGTCCGGCGGCTTCCTGGCTCGTGCTGTCCTGGCTGCCCTGGGCAGGGCTTGTGGCATTATAACCAAGCAGCAGGGACCCGGGACAGGGGTTCAACTCCGCCAGGGCCTTCTCGGGGGTCCCGGCCTGGGCAGGTCCCCTCTCCAGGTGGGTTCCTCCTCCTGCCTGCACCTGCCTTGTCTGTCAGGGTTGGCACCTCCTCGGGGCGGGGGGCAGGACAGCTTCTCCGGGTGTGTGCAAGGGGGCACATGCACGTGTGTGTGTGTACTCAGAGCCTTACACGATGCAACTTGTGGGTGCTACTGAAGTACAGCTCGTGCCTCTTGCAACCCCTCCACGAAGGACATGGACCAATGTCTTGAAGTTGCGGCAAACCAGGTTTAGATGGAGATCAGGAAACATTTCTGCACCGCGAGAGCAGAGGCGCTGGTGCTGCAGCCCGGGCTGGGGATGGGACTGGGCCAATGCTTCTGCTGGCACCGACCCCGCAGGGTCCTGGCAGGAGGGTCTTGCCCCCGCGCTCAGGCTCAGCCCCGCGCTGCACTGGGGCAGGAAGGGATTTCCCCCCTGCTCAGACTGGCTGCACAAGGGGGGTTCGCCTTCCTCTGCTGCAGGGGCACAGCCACCCCTCCAACCCCGCTGGCAGCAGCAGGATGGTGGTGCCCGCGGCCCCCCTGTATCCTGGGGTTGGGGGCGATGCCTGGGGCTGGTGGAGGCGACTGCGTCGTGCGGCCCCAAGGTCGGACACGGGGTTCGTCTGGGCTGCTTTGGACGTGACCCCGCAGCCCCTTGCCCGCCCCGCGGCGCTGCGATTTCCTGCAGCAGCTCAAGCAGAAGATGCCGCCGGCTCACGGAGCAGATCCACGTCGTGCACCCCAGCCTCTGCCTCCCGCGAGCCCCGGAGAGGCCCCACATTCGGGGCCCACGCGAGGGCAGGGTCAGCCCCGACTCTACCTGCTTCGCAGGGCCCCTCGTGGGCCACGGAGAGGTTGGCCTGGGGCCGCGCCCGTGCCGCCTCCTGGAACCGGCAGATCTGGGCGTAGGTCTTGCCGTCGGAGCCGCACAGGGCCTGGCCGGAGAGGCAGGTGCACTGGGGCTCGGGCACCTCTCCGCGCCGCAGGTCCCCGGCGTCGAGCCGGCACTCCAGGTGCTCCCCGCACCGCCCGTAGAAGTGGTGGGTGCCGTCCAGGTCGCAGATCTGCCCCTCCAGGTTGGCACACTCCCAGCAGCAGTCGCAGGCGTCGCGGACCAGCCCTGCCAGGCAGCCACGCGGTGCGGGGCAGTCCTCGGGGCGGCAGGCCGCGCAGCCCTCCCCTTCCTCCAGCAGCCGCTGCCAGCCCCGCTGCAGGTAGTCGGGCGCGCCGGGCAGTGCCAGGGCCCCGGGCAGGGACAGGCAGAGGACGAGGAGCAGCGGGCAGGCTCCGGACATGGTCACCGGCTCTGGGGGTCTCCGAGCGCGGGCGCCACCATAACCAGACCCCCTGGCCGCCTCTCTGGCCCGCCGAGCTGGGACGGAGCTGCGGGGGAAAAAGAGCTGCGTTACTGGGCCACGTTTTGGGGTCCATGCGTCGGGGGGGCGTTAAGCCAACCTCGCCGGTGCTGGTTTCCCAGACCCCAGCGCGGCCAAGCACGGGAGCAGCTCGGTGCACGGATGAAGAGGGGCCTGCCCGGCTGATCCAGCTGCAATGGGATGGCCGGATAGCGGAGGGTCTCCCCCCACCCCGGGGCATCCTGCCGCCCACCGGGCTCTGCCAGGGGCCAACAAGGGACCGGGATTTACCCAAAGGCTGCAGGCGTCCTCCCTCCCAGCCCCTTCGCTCTGACCGCTCGGCCACACTCCCCTCCCTGCCTGGGGGGCAGGACCCCGGGGGTCCGGGTTCCTGCTGCTCCAGCCCCCCAGGCCCCAGGGGCTGCGCAGCGCCTACCTCGGTGCGGCTCCGGCGATGCCTCTTGCAGTGGCTCCGGCCCGGGGCGGGAGCGCTGATGTCAGCCTGAAATGTGACTCCTCCACCCCTGCCCTCCCCTTCGCCGGCCCCAGCCAGCTGCACCGGGGGGGCTGGGGCAAGAGGGGGCAGCTGGCACCGGGGGCAGTCCCTGCAGAGGAGGCTTTGCAGGGGTGGGAGGGAAAGAAGCCAGGAGCCATCTGGGGCAATCCTTTGGGAGGAGGGGGCAAGCTGATGATGGGGGCAATGCACCCAGAAGGCCTTGTACCCAGAGCTGGCCAGGGCATAGCCACCCCGGAGAGAGGAGGCCGGTGCCAGCCCCTGCGCCAGCCTCCTCCCAGCTCCGTTTGGGTCCAGAAGGACCCAGCTCTGGGTAAACTGAGGCAAGCCGGAGCTGAGCTGGGCTAGCAGCCAGTTGGGGTCTGGGCAAGGGGGCAGTCGGGGCTCAGACCTGGGCTTAGCGAGCACCCAGGAAGGAGGAGATGCAGGTGGGGAGATGCAGGTTTCTGCCCCCCCAGCTCGGGGCATGGGGAAGGTTTTGCCTGCAGCCCCCAGTCCGGGTCTCCGCACCGCGCTGCAGGCCTGCCCCTGAATGCAGCCCCCGCCTGGGCCTCCCGCTCCGGCCTGCGCCCTTTGCAAGCCAGGGGCTTTTCCCGCCAGCTGTGCACGCCGGCCCCTTCCTCCTCTCCCGCGGCTTGGCCAGACGCTGCCTTTCCTCTGGCCTGAACCCGCAGAGCCCCCCTCCTGCTTCCCAGCGTGCCTCGCACGCCTGCTGCTCGCACAGACAATTCAGGGGGCTCGAGAGCAGTGCCCATGTCCGGATGGAGCCTCAGGGCAGCCCCCACCCTACTCCAAAATGAGGAGAAGCGGTGCAGTCCGGTAGTGGGAGCAGCCAGCGAGACCCTGCTCCGTGCCTCAGTTTCACCGCCTGCATAATGGGTATGAATGGGAGAGATGCTACAGTGACTCAGGCCAGCAGCTGGCAGGTCCCAGAGCTCATTTGGCATCAGGCTCTGAGCTTGGGAGAGGATGAAAGGGAAAGGAGGATGGGGAGAGAGGATGGTCCGGGGTCCAGGCTCCTACACAAGCTTTATTCTCCAGCCAAAGTGGCCTGTGACAGCCCCCTGGGGACGCACAGTTCAGAGCCACGTCCCCCCCAGCGGCTCGTCTTCCCGTGTTTTACGCGCCAAGGACAGCCCCAAAGGAAGCAGCCCCCAGCATCGCCCCCGCCCCTGCCCCCAGGATACAGGGGGGCTGCGGCCGCCAACGTCCTGCTGTGCCTGGGGGGGTCACGGGCGCTTCAGAGCCCAGGCCCAGGCCATGCCCCCGCTGCAGAGGGAGGCAACCCCCCCACCAATGCAGACCAGTCTGAGCAGGGGGGAAATCTCTTCCTGCCCCAGTGCAGCGCGGGGCTGAGCCTGTGCGCGGGGGCAAGACCCTCCCGCCAGGACCCACAGCCAGACTCTGCAGCCGGGACCCTCCGTGTCACCAGAAACAGTCGTTTCTTTCCAGTCCGTGTCCCGTCCCTGCAGGCGCCAGCCTGTCCCACCCCAGAAGCAGCCACATTTCCACCGGGGTGAACAGGGCCTTTGCAGCGATGGACTCTGCGTTCAACCCCCCGTTGCACACCCATGCAGCACCAGCAGGCCGGGCCCAGGGTCTTATCCCTGTCACCAAGAAAATTCAGTGCCGTGCTTTACCCCTTGCGTGATGTCCGGGGGCTGGGAAGTGTCATGGGGACATATAGACCAGACCTGTGCAGGGATGGAAGGGTGTGCATGGAGATGTACGTGGCTGGATACACGCATGACCCCAGAGCCTCGTGTGCGAGTTCAGACCTGGCCCTGGCAGCAGGTCCAGCAGCCAGAGCTGGAGGAGGAAGCCCTAGGGATGGGCGGAAAACCTGAGCGCCTGATGGCGGTTAGATATTCTCAGCAGACAGGTCCAAGCTCCTGTTTTTGCCCCAGAGAGCTGACATTGCATCGCCTTGTACGAAGGGCCCAGATAGCTTCTCACGTCTGGGCTGGTGGCGGCAAGGCTGGCGGGGCCGCATCTTAGCTGGGCCTCGGAAAGACGTGTTATGGGCGAGGGTGGAGAGGCCGCACAGACCGCTCGAATGGGCAACCTATAGCAACCACCGGCTTCAGTAAATACAGTGGAGGAGAACAAGGAGGTGGATGTCGTTTTCTTGGATTTTAGCACAGCCTTAGGTACGGTATCTCATCCCATTCTCATAATAAATGAAGAGGCTGTGACGTAGATGTTTACACAGTCCGGTGGGTGGCAAATTGGCTCGGGGGTCGCACCCAGACAGCGGTAACCGATGGGTCGGCATCGACGTGGAAGGATGTGGGCAGTGGGGTCCCGCAGGGTTCGGTCCTTGGACCTGTGCCTTTCAATGTCTTCATCAGCGACTTGGATGCCCGTGTGACGTGTACTCTGTCCAAGTTTGCGGACGATACTAAATAGTGGGGTGAAAGGCACGCTCCGGAGGGCAGGGAACGATTGCAGGCGGACCTGGACAGGTTAGAGAAGCGGGCAGCACACAATAGGATGCAGCGCAACAAGGACACGTGCAGAGTGCTGCGCCGAGGGCGCAAAAATATCCAGCACCAACTGGCTGGGCGGTGACCCTCTTGGCTGCACGGCGGCGGAAAGGGACCTCGGAGCCACAGTGGATCCAGGATGAACACGAGTCAGTGCGATGAAATCACCAGCACTTGACCATGCATCACCAGATGCGTGACGAATAGG